AACAGAACTGACACTAGTGTGTGCGACGCTTCCGGTTTCTGTTCCCGTGACTATAATAATCTCATAATATAAATTCTAACACCAGTTCCACAAATCATAAGTTAAAGAAAACAAGCCATGTTTTATGCTTCAGTCAGTGCAAATTTCAGCTGAAAGTCAGCCCGATGTGTGGTAACTTACGAACTTGACCAGACCACCTCGGTAGTGAATATGTCCTTAATTACCGCGCGATACATAAGATACTGCGCCATTCGTGACAGCCGCTCCACTTCCACGAACTCCAAGGGATCATCCCCAGCAGGAAACGGTTTTAAATAGCTGGAAGTTTCTCTCGGATCCTGACTCTGACGTATACGTGCAATCTGTAAAACGGTACACTTATAGCATAATATTCAAATACACAAAAAGGAGAAATGACAGGTAACAGTACAGCTGCTCTCAGTCAAGCACTCTTGGCAAAGACATTCTGCCACTTTTGTACGTTTATATCAAAAATTTATACTTCTATTAATAACCATCTGTACCCAATACAGCTGCTTGTGCAAACGGCAATTTTCATAACGTTTCTTGATCGCATCGGTCACAACGTCCCTTTGTTTGTCGTCCAGCAGTGGACAGCCCTGTTCAATCATGTCCCACCAGTCGGCGACCGTCAAGCGACGACAGTTGCGCATCCGCCCGAATGGAATGCGGATTTTGATTGGTCTTATGCCATCCGCAGGTAAGCAGCAGGTCAGCAGGTAAAACCGGATATCAGCCAAGACCTTCTGCAGACCGCATGACAAATCGTCAGTCTGCTGACCGATTAAATGGTTACCCGATAATTTGATGATCGCTAACTTGCTGAATGACAGTTTGCTAAGCCCGGTATTTTACTGACGACAATCTGTTAACTTAAGGGATTTGGCCCTTAACATCATTTTGGTACCGAACCAGCTTTCTACCATTTTTTTAAAATTTGCAAATGAATTTCAAAGGTTTTAAAAATTGATTTAAAATTTGAAAAAAAATGGTAGAAAGCTGGTTCGGTGCCAAAACGATCTTCACACTAATGTGCGTTTTCGTGCAAATTTGAAGAGCATCGGTTCATAATGAGACTTTTGGTACACCTCCGCGCGTTTAAACTTATGAAATTTTATTTCACTACTAACTCCCGAACCCGATGTTGCCCACGCAAACGGATTTCACGCCCACGTATACAAATCCTTTGGCTCCAAAATGCCATAAAGCAATGCAAAAAAGTGTTTATGAGTGCGCGACAGCGAAAGTTCCCGTGTATGTGCCCGAATATGGTATTATGTACCGGGCCAAATCCCTTAAGAAAATATAATGAAACTTAAAATTTTAAACGAAATATCAGAATGGATAAGAATAAAGAAAGCATAAATAAATATAAGAAAGAATTAGAAACAGTCGATATCAAGCATTACCGAGCAAAAGAATATATAAGAAACCAAGAAAACACCCAAAAATCTAAGAACCCTTGAAACCAGAAGTTGTCGATCCAGAAAATAATTGTGCAAAAATTCAGTCAGCAAAATAGTCGAAAAGCGATTTGTCGGTCAGAAGGTTGTTGGAATCAATAATATGTCGGTCAGCAAATTGCCGGTAAGCAGAACTGAGGTCAATGAATTGACATCCAATGTAATTCATTGACCGGTTGGCTAATTTGTACGGTTGGCTATTTTTTTTACTTTTGGCTAATTTGTACAGCAATGATTACATGGATGTTTGTTACCTGGAATCGTTGGTCGTTTGCATAGCAGCTTTTCCAATGCTTAAGACTGCACAGAATACGTAACTGGCCGCCGACGTGGTCAACCATAGAGACTCTGGACTCCTGCCGACCGTAGTACAAATTCCACTCCCGGATCAGCGCGTCGACCTCTTCTGACGAAAGGAGGCTTAACTCCTTATCCAGGGGCACGCTGCACCGGACAAACGTCCCTGGTTCAACGCATTCACCCTGGCGACGTTCGACAGAGTCAATCGGCCAGCGCAGTCGCTCAATGGGGACGATATCGGTGCACGGAACTTCACTGTCTGGATTTCTCCACTGTACAATGACTGCCCCGCAGTACAGATTCCTCTGACCGTCGCCCACTTTGATCAGTTCAGCGTCCAGCCAAATCCACGGACCCGATGGGGTCTCCGGTACCAGCACTTGCACGGGAACTTTCTCACTCTGCTTCTGAATCTTGACCAGTTCGCATTCGTTGATCGGACAGTAATAAAAGACGCTACCGAAAGGGAACAATTCGCGGTGCCGATGGGGACAGAGAAGGTCGACGAAGAGGCCGCTGTCGGCCACGTCCACGACGCGGCCGAAACGCAAGAACCCATCGTCGCCCAGAACTTTCACGCAATTAAACCGGACCATTTTTCTGGGGACGTCAATAACTCGCTCGGTGTAGAAAAGAAAGGTCTGGATTGCCGATCGTCGCAACACGACCTTTACAGTCTAGTGAAAGGCAGTGAAAATCCCGGGCAATGCTACTCTAAAGCTAGATCCTAAATGGATCCAGAGACAGAGACCTAAACGGGATAGATCCTGTGGAGCGAGCAAGGCGATCTGGATTGCGAGCTATGCGGAAACACAAAACGTCGCACCGCCACTTGCTAACTTTTTAATATTGACAATTCTGCAGCACAGAAAATCAACAATGATCGGCGCAGCTCGATCGTAAAATCGTAGAGCCAATTCTACAGTGTGCATCACTGTGCAGCACGTGCTATGCCGCGCCCACTAACACAACTCAAGCCAATCAGAGGCGAGACACAACACAGACACGTAATCCATGGCGAGTAGCGTCACGAGTGTGAACGCTAGTGAACCCCGCTCACATGCCTCTGGGTGGGATGCCGAGCTCCGTCGAGGCTCAGCATCCTCCGGAATCCACGAAGAAGACGAAGGTCGCCGCTGTCTGTGCGTGCTCAAAAACATCAAATTCTCTTATCCATTTTATCACATCAATTCCAAATGCACAATGTGAATTAAAGAGATCTGTATCAAAATACTATTCCATATCAACTCTAATACAAAACAGATCAAAAAAGGATTAATCCAAATGTAGACTAGGATCCTCCATTTCTGACTCGTAAAGGTCACAGGTCCTGTCCACCGTTTTCCACATTTTTGGCCCATTCCGCTCTGTTGAGCAATTCCGCGCATCCATAATGCGACTTTTCATCACAATCCGCTTGAGAATCGACTGCGTATCAAGTACGACTTAGGAATACTGCTTCATCTTTGGAATATGGTGCGTATCAATTGTACGACTTTCAAATGAGATCCATAAAGGTCATGGAGGGACGTCTTATAGACAAGCGTAGTTCGCTTCCTCCCTGATAAAGTCATCTTTCTGTGAAGATAATCCGGGATGTGCGACTCGTTTTGGGTTAATGGTCCCAAAAAGGTCATACGACTTGAATTCCCATACGGTGACTCTCTTGGGCGGTAATGATCCCAAAGGTCATCCAACTTCTCTTCAAACTTCGATTAAAGGTCATGGAGGAACTTAGCCAATTTTCTGCGGCCTTCAAGCACTTCTTTGCTTGCCTCCCTGGTAAAGATTACGATTTGACCTTTTCGTCGCACATCCAACTTCAATATGCCTCGAGCGGCCAGAGTGCCGGCAAGGTTTACCGTAACATCTCTGATGGGGCCGGCTGACTACCGCATTAAATTTACCCCATGAATTTCCACATAACATCTTTCACTCTTGTTCGCCGCTTGTAGCTAGTCTTCGTCTCGAGAGATCCGGCTAAATTTCCGTAGTTTCTCTCGTTAAGTTCTGACACTGAATCGCTTGGAGAGATGGCCGGCATAGTTTACCGTAGCAACTCTAATGAGGCCGGCTGGCTGCCGCATTAAGTTCACCCCATTTAAATTCCACCTGTTGTCTTTCTCTTTTTCGCCGCTTGTGGCCCACTTTTGTATTCAAGAGATCCGGCTTGATTACCGTAGTTTCTCTTGCCAATTTATAACACTGAGTCGCAAAGACGAGAGAGCCGGCTAGCTGCCGTAACAACTCCCTTGGGGCCGGCTTTAGAGACCGAATCAATTTAAACCCCATTAAATGCTCCACATGGTTTCTTTCAGGCAATTCTGTGCTATAAACGCTGCAAACAACAATACACAAATGCATTAATGTTAATATGTCACGTCGCCCTTATACAACACCATTTTTCATTCTTGTGACGTACCGACAATTGCCGTAGACGCCCTTTTAATAGTGTGATCCTACCGATCGATACTATTCCATTTCATTTGAATCCTCCTCCTCGCCGTCTCTTGGCGGGCGCTTCTTATTACTTCTCGGTTGGTTTTGGTCAGAGGTCCGGTCAATCGGTTCCGTGGGATCAACTGCCATGACCTTTCCCGGGTCAACTTCTCGCGGGCCGCGACCTTTTCCTTGGCGACTTCTTTTGACCGCCTCGACCCGATGGCGCGCATCATTTTCCTCCAACCGGAGTCTCCGGTTATTAGGGTCATCCGCCAATCGCCGTTGCACGTCAGCGAGATTATCGCGGAGTTGCTGGTTCCTTAGGCCGCGTCGTCCTATCTGGTTAGGAGCACGTTCTGGGCGTCGGCCGCCTTTGTTCACCAGAAATTCCGTTATGTAGACATCAACTCCGTCCACTGGTTCAACATAGTCGCTCCCCATGGTGTTTTTAATCCGATTGATTCTCTCTTCAACTTGGGAAGCATGGCGCTGTGTAAGGTTGCCCTTTTCCATGCGTATTTTGAAACTTTTTCAACGCCTTGCGAGCCGTGTGGGCCATCCCGACATGTTCCATGGGTTCGCCCAGTTTCGCCACATGAGGTCGAAAGAGCGGTGGGATGTCGTCCTTCATGGTATTAGATACCAACTGATTCTGTGTCTTGTAATGTGCCAATCTCGCAGCGAAGACCTTCTGCCCCATCCTTCTTGCGGCATGGTCTCTAGGATTTACTTGTAATCCTATCGATGCTCTTGCTGCAAGCAACTTGAAGGCTGGATTCACATGTCGTAACACGAACTGAGCCACATATTCTTGTCATTCGGGATAGTCTCTGTAATAGAATCGTGTCCAGTGGTACATCCAGTAAACTCAGATCCAGTAGGCTATGTAGTCCGTTCCGTCGAATAGGGAGATAACAGTCCCTTACTGAATCGCGGGGAATGTATAACGGACGGAAAATTCCTTGTTCCACCCCCTCTTTAATTTCTTTCGCATAGCCTGAATCGAATAAAAATTGACGCAACTGATTGAGAATTGTATGAATCTTATTCGCGTCCGCCGAATCATCTTCAATTCCCATGTATCGGCAAATTTCCGTCTTTTGTTCATCTGTGTCCCTCATATCGTATTCCATGTCGATTATGTCGGGGTGTCGATTATTGAATCTGGAAGTCGCTCGTCGATCAACTTCGCGACGTTCATCCGGTTCGCGCTGACCTTCTTGTGCGCTTCGTTCTCCTGATTCCGACTGCGGCGGTTCATTACTCGCCGGTGTAGCCGGTTGAAGGTCGCTGTCCAGAATTACGTTTCGTCGGTGCGTCACATTTGCTTGGAACGCTTCTGCGACTGAACTGGCTCCTTCCATCGGGTCATCGTCCTGAGCAGCGCTAATAATTGGGTCCACCACGTGGACCGTTGACTCCATTCTTTGATACTTTGGAGGTGAATCTTCCCGTTCTGCGCTCGATGACCTTTTACTTGTGCCAGATTCGAAACCCGCATAATACCTGGCTCTTTCCTGCCATCGTTTATCCTGTGGGTCTGGCGTTCGATTCCGCGTGTGTTCGCGTCTTTTGTCCCATGACCTTTCGGGTGTTAACATTCTGACATTGCGATTACGGAATCCAACTTCCATCGGGACCTGATGACCTTTCTTTTCAGGTTCCGTACGGTAAGTCTCCGTACACCGTCGTTCGTCGCGTTCTCTGGTCGCTGCCAAGATCTTTGCCGTATCTATTTTCCGTTGGATACTCGTTTCCGTTATCTCGTTGCTATGACGCACCCATCCTCTTCCGCCACGGTAATCTGTCATGAGAACGTTCGCGTGACCTTTCGCTGCGGTAATCCCGTGTCCTTTCCCGGGAGTGTTCACGTGACCTTTCGGTTCGTCTTTCAGAAGTTTGTTCATGTTCCCGTGAATGTCCGCATGACCTTTCTCTATGCGGAGGCGAACGAGGTCGTGTAAACCCATCATCTCGTCTGAATCCTCTGAGCGCCTGTAGGACATTGCTCTCGTTCTGACGGGATTTACGCAGCTCCTCCATACGTTCTTCAACTGCCTTCTTTATGTATGGTGCTGGAGCGAAACCCTTCTGTAGTCTCAGCTTTTCGCGTAACAGCGCATCGAATAAGTCCTGTTGCATGGCAGCCCGATCACTCGTCAGCGTGTCAATTTGAATGATAAGCGACTGGCGTATCAGCTGTGCTTCGTCTTCGTTGAGGCTGGCTGTAGGTACGGTTGAACTCGACGGATTGGGCAGCGCCTCTCGTGCGGCCTGTTCGCTCGCCTTTTGATTCGCCGCATTGATCTTCGCCCGGAGTTCATCCTCCAACTGTTGCCGCCGCATCTTCTCCTGATCCTCCTCAAATTTCTTACGGTATGCGTCTGTTTGTGAACATTTCAACGGCTCCAAAGTCTCATCCCAGCCACTTTCGTTATTCCGGATCGCTTCACGGTAACGATCCTCTAGTAGCATTCGCTCTTCTACTGGGATGCTGCCGTAATTCCTCGCGCTAATGAGGTTTCGAAAAACATCCATGTTCCCCCGTTTAGCTTCCATAAGTCCCACGAGTGAAACGATGTGTGGGTCCCCCAACTTGTGAACACATGTGTAGCACGGGAACTTCTTATCGACCTTTCTGTTGTTGCGTAAGCAGTCCGGACACCTTGGGTTATAGCCCGTAGACTGATCGACGTCCGTTGGAAGTGTTCCCTGACTTCGTCGATTTGCTTGACCTTTCTGTGCCATCTTTCCGTTTATATTTGCAATCAAAACAATCCGTCATAGTAACCGTTCCGCGTAAACCGTTTCCATTCTTATCCATTATCAAGGCTTTTTTATCATTTTTACGCCTGTTCCGTTACTGAGCTGAGACTTTCCTAGCTCCTGTATCCCTCTCTATCGCGATAACGTGGTGACCTTTCTCACGTTATCATCTATATTGCACTTTCTGACTACTGTGACCTTTTCTATTAGTCGTAAAACTTTTCCCATTCGTTTTTAACTATTTTATGCTTTTCTGTAATGTGCAGGGTTCATTACTCGCTGCACATTACACCCGTCCCATTCATTCAGACTCCTTTGCCGGCGGTTTATACGGCTTGAAGTCAACTCGGCCATCCTGGTTAATATGAAGCACTTCATCTGTAATCAATGCTTCAACGGCATTCTTGATCCATTCTTTATCGTTCTCAATATTCAATTCTCCCAATTCATAATGGACGGCCATGAAGTTCGAAAGGTCATTCCATGACGCTCCATTGGTACCGCCGATGGCGTCCAAAGCCACATCTGTGATGGCTATCTTCCAGGCCTCTAGCTCCATTTTCAGTCTGGGCGTGCGATCCTGGCCCTGTTTCGGAAGGTAGTAGATGATCTTGTTGTCTTTGTCGTATTTACATCCCAGTTTCCCTTCCTTATATGCTCGTTTCAGGACTCGTTTGGTCCTACTGAGTGATGACCTCCCGTTCGAATTTTCAGCGACAGGTCTGGGCCGAGCATTTCGCCTTCTCTAATGTTCTGAAGCGCCGCTTGGACTTCGCTCCATGTCCGGTTAGTCACATCCAACGGTGCACCTAGCGTGTAATCTGTCGGCTCTTTTGTTTTTATGGTGCTAGATTACGTTTTCTGGGTGGATATTGCTGAGTCCGTTGGGTCAGTTGTCTCTGTTTCATCGATCCTCAACTTTGCCAACGAACTAGATGATGACTGAGCGGATTTCGGTTCATCGGTTTTCTCTTTCTGTGGCAAAGTCTCGTGGCCTCCCGCTTCACCTGCTGACTTCGACCGCTCTTTCTCAAAAGCCTCCTTCAATGGTGCGAACATTGATTTCTGGTACACCTGTCGCGCAGATGCACCTTCTGCTTCTGCCGCTGCCTTGTCCATTGGGAGCGTGACCTTTTCTTTCTCCCCTTTTTCTGAAGTCCCATGACCTTTCGGTTGAGTTTCTTCCGTCGCAGTTCCAGGTGTCTCTTGACCTTTAGGCTTTTCTGTCACCGGTTCCGAGATGCCGGTTCCAAAGGCATTGGGGCAGAGGTGTCATCATCACTCTCTTCCGATTCCACGTCCATCGGTCCTTTCTTTTTCGTCGCTTTCTTAGAGGAAGCCTGGGCGGCTTCTTCTTCAGCTGTTAATTGTTCGATCCGATTCAGTATGGGAGTTGTCGGATCTCCACTCGATGGTACCTTATCCATCTCCTGACTGTCGGACATATTACAGTGGGCTTGTTTTTCTGGCGGTATCAGGCCTACTCTCGTGTATCGGATCGGATATCCTTTGTGTGCGTTTGTTGTGGAAAGGATGTTCTGTTTTATCATCCTGGGCAACACGCGTTCAGTGGCCGTGTCGATTTCCTTTATCAATCCTTTTCCGTCATTCCACACGGCATTAATGTTTCGGCTGATCCGGTGACTCGTTGACCCCAACGGGCTTGTCATTCCCGCGACTGCCCTTTCTACTCGCATTGAGGTATCTTCATTTGGAGTCGTCAGCGCCTTATCCGAGCTTGACGGTCTAAATAATTTAGCCTTGTACGCAAAATTCGGATGTTTCTGGAAAAGTTTTCCCGCATTCCGAGCGTATTCCAATACCACATCGAACTTCTGTTTGGTGAAGCTACGGTGCATTTCCTTTCTCAAGTATTTCTTTAAGCCCGTTCTAAATTTCGATGTTACTGATGTCGTTCGTATTCTTGTGAAATTCTTCTCAGCTCCGTTGAACGCATCGATGATCTCGTCAATCGTGGTCAAATTATCGCTGTCTGGATCTTCAAATTCCGCTTCATCTCCCGAGTAATCGAGTTCACTTTCTCCGTCCGGTTCGATGTAATTGGCCATCGCCAATACATCGATTTTCCTGGCCTCCTTCCCTTTCTTTTTCGGTTTTGCGGGTTCGCTCTTTGCTTTTTTCCCTTTTTCAAGAGCCTCCGCTAGGCTTCTTGGCTCCGCGGTTCTTGATCTGGTCGTTTTCGGGTCCGTGTGTGACCTTGTACTAACCGTCGAAGTACTTGGGAGGCTTACTTCCGATGATCCTGATTCGCGGGACGTCTCCCGTTTCGCCTTCTCACGCGTCCCTTTCTCTCTGCGCTCTTTCGTAGTGGATGCCGAGATAACAACTGGAACAATCTGTTTCACAGCTATGACCTTTCCTTTGGATGTTGACGGCTCAGGCTCGGTGACCTTTGACTTCGATGTAGCCGATTCAATGACGAATTTCTTTGGGATTATAGGTGTTGATGACCTTTGTTCAATGTCGCCGACTGATTCTTCCAATATTTCAACGTCATGAGAGGGCGGATCGTCTTTCTTCTTCCTTTCTTCCTTCTTTTTCCCGGTGTGTGTGCTCTCGCTTTCATCACCGCTCTTTTTCTTCGTATCTTCATCTTCCTTTCGTTTCTTTAGGAAGTCACCTTTCTTGGCCCTCTCACGGTTCATGGCTTCATCCAGTTTAGCCGTTTTCCTCGGTTTAACGACCACTTTTGGAGGCTGATTATCTTCCTCGGCCATGTCGTCATCTTCATCGGTCGGTTCCTCTGCCGAATCGTCGTTAGCTTCCTCCTCTTCTGATTCGTCCTGTTTCGATGGTCTCCTGGTACTCTCTGTTCCTGCCACTTCGGCTACGGAGGTCTCTGCCATCTCTCTGGCTCCACTTTCTTGTGCCGGGTGTTGGGCCTGAATTTCCAAATGTGACGTTTCTTTAGTCTGCCCCTGTGTAACAATCTCCCACAGAGGGTTTTTCTTCGCGTCATAGAATACCGTCTTATGCGCTCCGTTTTCCATTTTTCTTGTGAGTCGGAAATGGGCTTCGTCTATCTCCGCTCGATGTCGCATCATGCTGATCAGCGTGTTCGCTCGAACTAAAGGATCTTGACGTTCACTTACTGGGATCAAGTTCCACAGTTGTTCTAGTGCTGCCCGATTGGCGTGCTCGGCGCTCTCTTCTGACACGTCCCATGGAGCGTATGGAATCGGATCTCCTGTGATCGGGTCGACGATTACTGCGGTTAAACAATCCGTTGTCCCATCGCCGAAGTGGAGTGTCAGTGTCACTTTTCTGCACGTTCCATCGGTATATTTCAGGGTCGACTCATAATCGTCCAATGTTCGCTTATTCGGATCTGGGTCTGCTGTCGATTTTGGCCGAATTCTCTCTTTCGTCAGCAATTTCCCATCCACTGTGTATGTATATGCCATTTGTGCCCACTTTAACACGGATCCACGCGTTTTCTTCGACCGCAACTTTGGACACCACGTGCTTCATCATCTGAATGAGGACTCTCGGATTATGACGTTCCTCCGGAGGAATAAACTGTAACGCCTCATTGACTTCTGTCTTTGACCTTTCCCCAATCTCAGTTTTAACTGATTTATCCGCTAGAGGATTGTACGAATCGATCTCCTTATTCGTTCTTTTATCGACTATCCGAGCGGTGACCTTTCGTTCGTTATGGTCAGTTTCAGTGTATTTGACCGTAAAAGTTCTGCACTTCGGAAATCGAATTGAAGCGGCTTCTGGATCCGACGGCGTGGGTAGTGCACTCTTTCTACCCACTGGGATTGGTGCTTTACTCGTCGTGACCTTTTTCGTCCGCTGCTCTTTCTTGTCACTTTCTTTTGGACTGGTCGTCGGTGACCTTACTCTTTTTCCACCTTTCTGCTCGTTCAGTTAATTCTGTCTCAATCCTTCTCTTTGTTTCCAGGAGAGCACTGTCCGACATCTCCTCTACCGGTGCTTCAACTAATGCCCGTGATGGCCCCGCCGCACTGCTTGTCGAGGGTCCCCTTTCTTTAGGAATCGTCTTAAGGAATATCTGTATCTTCTCAATCATCGGTGGCTATTTTCTGTTGGTTAAGGCCGGATGGTACTGTTTCATCGAGGCGATTCTGATCGCTAACTCTTTACGTTTAACTTCAATGCTTTTAGTTTTCTCCTTCATCGCGATATGAACTGCTTCAATGATCGCGTCCAGACTCATTAATCTTCCATAGAATGCATGTTCATCCTCGACTCGCATATGAATTCTATAAAGATCCCGACACATACGGTTAAAATCCTGGATGGCCGCTGTATCCGCCGCTGTCAATTTGTCTTCGTTGTCCACGATCACGTTCAATCGCGCGTCGTCTTCTTTCATGTCCAGTGGAAGTTTCGGTGAATAATCATGTACGGTTGGTTCACCTGGGGGCGTTGTCCGTAGACCATCTGGTCCGACCTGCTCCAAGTTTGGGCCCAGCGACGGTAGTACGCCTCGCGGTCGTGGCGAATCAAACCGATTTCCTCCTCGCCTCCCTCCTTTTTGTGGCGAGTTCCGATGAGGTCGTTGCGCTCCCAAGTGCTGTGGCGTTCTTAAACGAGGTGCTTCAATGTCCGATAGTGACAAACCTCCTATTTCCGGGAAGGGTGGCAAAATCGGCGACGCCCTTTGTGGCTGCACTGGAGTCGCTAACATTCCGCCAAATCCTCCATATCCCATAAACCGACTCGGTGTAGTCTGTTGCGGTGGCGGCATCAACATTCTTGCCGGTCCCGTTATCACTTGCGGTGGTCCCATCAGTATACGATCCCGGATGCGGTTGGTAAGGGGCATTCGTTGATTGGCCCGAATACTGGGTTCCGGCAAGTGAGCCGTGGTGCACCCAGCTAACCGTGTCTTGATAATTCGTCGGCTGTCCCGGATCGTGATACGCATAATACCTCGGGCCGCCGTAGTAAGCTCCTTGGCCTGGTTCGTTCTGTGCCGTTCCGGTTGACGATGTCGACCCTTCGCCATATGAAGTATCATATCCATATTCACCTTCCATTCTCTTTGGGGTCGATGTCTTTAATGGATTTCCAATACTTTCCGAATTAGAATTCTCTGAATTCTGTCGTTCCAATCTATCCATTAACTGAGCTTACCTTCTGTAACAATGAAACAATATTGATTAGCTCTCATAACGGTGATGTCCTTTTTACACCTTCCCAACTCCTATTTTTAGTGAAGTGAACCCCTTATTCATGTTTATGTGGGTTATTTGTCTTTGTGTCCTTTAGTTATCCGATCAAGGAGTTCTTTGTCGGCCGCATCTTCCACTTCGCCTTTCTGGGTCAGCAATTCTGTGGGAGTTAGTTTCTTCTTCTTCTGTTTAACCTTTCGCTCATCGATTGCTTTCGCTATATCACGGCCTAATTGTTTAGCTTTTGATTTGACCGCTTCTATCTCCTCTTTTCTCTTTCTTATGAGGTCGTTCTCATTGCCGCTAGCAGTGCGTGGTTCGAAAAAATTCGGATCGCGCTCTGATATCTCGGCGGCTGTCTGCTGTTTCATAAGGTCATCCTTGTCTCCGGTAGCAGTGTGTGGTTCGAAAAAAGGATCTTGGTTTGGTTCAAGTTCTTTTTGCGAAGCGCGTTCGGCTACTCCATTACCAGTTCCTGTCACTGGTGACCTTTCTGCCAAGTTTCCAGCTTCTGTGTTCAACTTAATTGTAACTGCTGTTTCGAAATCTTTATCCTCTTTCCTCGGTCTCCCTCTCTTCTTTTTTGGTTTTGTCTCCACCTGTGTCAGGTAGCAGAGAACGTGGTTCGAAAAATTGACTGGTAACATTTTTCGGGGCATGCTCGGCTTCACTGAGTTTATCTTCTTCCGACTTTTCCTTTTCGGGTAGTGGAGGTGGTTCGAAAGATGATTTGCGTTGGGAATTCAAATCATTTTGTGGACTTCGCTCTGATTCAATCTCTTTTTGAGGATCGCCTTCCAACTTTTCGTCTGGCAATGGTGGGTGCCATAATTTCAGGCGGTCGATTGAGACGACCTTTAAGTCCGCTTCCTTCTTTGGGTTCTGTTCGATAACCTCTGCTTCGTTTGCTCGCGGAAAGCTAAGAATTTTCCACACTTTATCATATTTTGCTTTAAAGTCGGACTGGTTTTCCTTCTTCCCTGGTTTCGTATCCTTCGGGAGACGTATGAGTACCAAGTCGCCTACTTTGAAATTCGGGTCCGACTTCTTCTTATTGTAAATTTCCGCATTTTTTTCGTAAGCGTCTTTGATGTTGCATCTCGCCACTTCTTCGGCAAAGGTCAAATTCTTTTTCATGGTCTCCACCCATTCATCTGGGGTCCCATAATCGTCTGGGATGTTCGTTTTTGTGACCACATCCTCCGGCATTGTCATTTCTCTGCCGTGCAACATGTAATATGCTGAATATCCGGTCGTGGCGTGTACAACTCTGTTCATCGCCGAAATGACGTATGGGAGGTACTTGTTGAACTTTCTTTCGTTTCCCGCTTTCAAGTATTGCGCCAAGCCATCTGCAACCGTCTGCATCTGTCTTTCAACTTGGCCTTGACCTTCTGGATGATACGCCGTTCCGAATGTGTGTTTGATCTTAAACACATTGGTGACCTTTGTCAGTACTTCAGCTGTAAAGTGCCGTCCGCGATCCGTGTGTAGGATGTGCGGTGTTCCGTGTACCAGTATCACGTGCTTCACGAACACTTTCGCAAATTCTTTAGCCGTTGCCGTTTTCATCGGTACAGCGATTACGTATTTCGTCAATTGATCGATAAACACCGCGATATACTTGTATCCTCGTTTCTTCGTTGGTAACAACGGTCCTTTCAGATCCGCGTAAACTCGGAAGAACGGATGTCCCACTTTAATCTCTTGCAGTTTTCCAGGTGGGCATTTTCTTGACGTTTTACGGAACTGACATCCTTGACATGCTAATATGTAATTCTTTACATCGGTACTCATTCTATCCCAACAATATCGGAGTCTTATTGCTGACAGTGTCTTTTCGAATCCCAAATGTCCTGCCGCCTTCTCGTCGTGCAATGCGTGGATTATCGCTCTTCGCATTGACAACGGTACCACATATGACCTTTCAAGTTTCCCATTTTTATCCTTTACTCGGTATAATATGCCATTCCACAACTGGTAATGCACCTCAAATTTTGATCTCGTCTCAGCGTCTGGTAGATGTTCCAGTTCATCTATTATCATCGCCAGATGGGGATCTTTCAACTGTTTATTCCGCAACTGCAAGTTCGAATCGTCTTCGTCTTCCTCGTCGCCTTGTAGGTTAACGATACGAACTGTTGCCGTACTTAGTTCGTTCCAGTCCTTAATAACCTTACACCGCGGTAACGGCTTGTATCTCTTCTTCGTCTGTTTTGGGAATCTCAGCAACTTAATCGGGCATTCATTCAACGCCTGTGTCAATTTGTCCGTTTCCCAAAGGTCATCTTTATTCTCCTTTGCTTCGTCAAGTCCCGTGACCTTTTCATTCTGCTTTTTAGATTCCGCATCAAGTCCCGTGACCTTTAAGTCGCTAACCGTGGGCAACCAGCTTTTTACTCGGTTCACTTTGGCTTCTGTTTCAGCCGACTCATTCGCCGTAGCTGAGGTGACCTTTAGCCGTTTTTCCCTCTGTTCCACCATCTGCAGGAATAACTGTCCAATTTCAATTGCTGGTTCTTTTGTATCAAATTCCTTCTTGTAATCCTCGAAGTTCGGGATCTCGTCAAAATCCTCTTCCTGACACGTTGGACCTCCGATTGGTGCTCTTGACAACGCGTCCGCATTGTCGCAATACTTTCCCGGTTTATATTCAATTTTGAACTGATGACCTTGTAAGGCCATTGCCCATCTCGTCAAACGCGGGTTCATTCCCACTTTATTCGTCTCTGACCTTAGTAAGTTGGTCAGCGCCTGGTGATCCGTTCTTACGGTGAATTCTGCATAGTCGATGAATGGCTTGAACTTTCTGACAGCGAAGACCACTGCCAGACATTCCCATTCCGTTACACCGTAATTTCTTTCTGCTCCGTGTAGGACGCGACTCGCATATGCGATCGGGTGGCCATCTTGAGATAATACCGCTCCGATTCCCTCTTTACTCGCGTCACATTCAATAACGGTCGGCTTTGCCGGGTCAAATTTCGCCAATACTGGACCTTCGCATAACAGTTGTTTCAGACTGTTGAATTCCTCTTCGTGCACCTTTGTCCAGTCCTTCTTCACTTGTTTATCTTGTCTCAACAGTTCGTACAAATGGCAAGTCTTTTGTGCATATCCCATTATGAACTTGCGGTAATAATTCGCCAGTCCAAGGAATGACCTTAATTGTCGTTCAGTTTGAGGTCGTTTGAATTCGGATACTGCGGTGACCTTTTCCGGATTCATTCTGATTCCATCTTCACTGAGTATATGACCCAGAAATCCCATTTGTCTCATTCCAAATTCACATTTCGTCGGTTTAATCGTGAATCCTGCTTCGACTAGGCTCATCAATACATTTTTCAAATTCTGCATGAAGATCGCCCAAGTTTTTCCGGCGAAAATAACGTCATCAATGTACCCGAAAACGCAACCTTTTCTTTTTGCTTTCGACAGTACTTTATTCATGCACAATTGGAATGTTGCTGGTCCGTTGCAGACTCCAAATGGCATTCTTTTAAATCGATACATTCCATCTTGCGTTACAAAGGTCGTCTTGTTGATTGACGCTGGATCCATTGGGATCTGCCAGAATCCGCTTTGCAGGTCCATTTTTCCGTAGTATTTATTGCCTGCACACGCATCAAGCAACTCGTCCGGATTCGGTAACGGATAATTGTTCTTTCTCGTTAACTTATTCAGCATGATGTAGTTGACACAAAATCTTGTTCCCATTGTTCCGTCGCCATTTTTCTTTACTGCCAGCACGACTGGAAAGCTCCACTCGGCGTCTGACGGTTCGATCACATCTTGTGCCAACATCTCTTCTATATGCTTCGTTATAAACTCGCGGCCTGTCCAACTCGTTCTGGCCGGGTTACATTTAACTGGTTTCGCATCTCCCGTATCAATTACGTGAGTGACTCCTTTCACGTCTCCATACGGTTTCTTTGATGTTGGTAAGACCTTCCAGAATTCCCAGAACGCGTTATACACGTCGTTCTTTTGTTCCTCAGTTAGGTCAGGTCCTAGTTTCAAATTTCCAATTATCTTTGTCAATTCTGCTTTCGTCGTGTCATCCACCTCTGGGTCTTCGAGTACGTTCTTTACTGTCCCAGCGTCGACCTTTACATTTCCCATATGTTCATACGGCTCCACGTAGCCAAGAAGTTGATTTTTCTTCACGATTTGGTATTTGCTACTGTGATTCGCAATGACGATTTCGAAATATTTTCCTCTATGGTCCGTCACTCCTGCCAACGGTTGCACATCAGTTTCAATTTGTGGGACCGGTGTGAACATCAACTTGTTTTGAGCCGGTGCATATTTTCCCATCTTGACCTTTACCCGTGTGCAGTTTGACGGCTTCAATTTGATTCGTTGGTCACTGTAAACTTTAATCACATCTTTCGAAAGCCTTGCTTTCTCTATTTTCAGTCTTCTGACTTTTATCTCTTTTTCTTTTTCTTCGTCCACTTCATCATCTTCATCCAGGTCCAATAAGTCTTCCTGCTCTGAAAGGTCACTTACTCCCGAATCTTCTGAAGTCGTTGAGTTATCGCTTGAGCTCGTCCATTCCGAGTCCGAATCGCTGCTCTCGTATTCTTGTGCAGCGGCTTGACCTTTGTCAGCCTTTTCGAGTGGACGCTCATCAACTCCTTCGTCTTCTGGTAAAAGGTCACTTTCGTTTTCTCGCGAATCGCCAAGTTTTTTTACTTTCGAATTTTTGAGCAGAGGTTTATCCGCTTCCTTTGCCTTTCGCCCATTTCGTGCGGCGATTCTCGGATGGCTCCTTGCTACCCGTACTCTTGTTGAAGACCTTTCTGTCTGATCAGAGTTTGACCTTTCTTCTTCCGATTTTGACTTTTCCAGTTCATCGATTCCTTCAAGACTCATTAATGGCTTTTCGGTCAACTCGACCGGCGGACCTTCCTCACCGTTATCGAGTGACCTTTCCCCGTTTTTTGCCTCAGTTACTGGGTTTTGCTGTTCATTCGATATCCTTTCAACTTCCTCTTTAAACTTTCTCCACATTTCTTCTCTGTCCGTTAACATCTGTGCAATGTCGAAGGCCGTTTTTGGACTTTCTTCTGCTTCGTTCGATCCCCCTTCAGCTGTCTCTTTAGCTGTTTCCTTCTCTGCTTCCTTTACAGTCTCTTTATCAACTTCATCCTGTTGGACCGCTTCATAACCCTTAGGTCGTTTGGGACCAACGAAGACACAATTTGCCATCAGCTCTTCGGTGACCCAATCGTCACTCGGGATCGTTTCATACATGCACCACGTGTCACCGCCTCGTTCTGGGTAGTCCACTCCATCTGGATCTGGTGCAAAGGTCACCTTTTTCTTTTCCATCAATCCCGGTAACCTTCTTTTCCGGGTTACCTGCAATTCCTTCATCTCTTTTACATCAAATTTGGGGATTTCTTCTTCAAATTTTGTCCAGTATTTTTCGAATATGTCCCAGTCATTTTCTTTCAGTGCTTTGCAGAACACCACCACTGATTCGTATACCGGTATGGCAAGTCCTGTTGGGAATATAATTGTTTTCCCTTGACCTTTGTACATGTGATTGACGCGGAAGTCCCAGAACAGTTCTATTCTCGCTTCTTCCCATAGCTGTACTTCTTCGTTCATTGAGTCTATCTCTCTTTCAAGTTTCCTCTCCGTTTTTACTGGGTCAAAGGGATCTTGGATTCCATTTTCCACACGTTGCTGCCAATGGTTCAGCCATTTTCCTCTCCCCGTAATGAAATTTTTCACACATGACAACCAAGTCCGATATCTATTCCAATGATACCGTTCGATGTGTGGTTTCCACATTTCATTTGTCCGCATGATGCTTTTCAGTTCTTTTTGGACATGACCTTTAAGGTCTGCCAATGCAGCGTTACATCTCGGCCATTCCGAAAGGTCATCTTGGGAGGCGTTTTGACAACATTCAGTGCATTCCCATTGTGGTTGCACTCTACACGGATCCTCATAGTAACCGTGTCCGCAACTCCCCATTCGTTCTTCTGGAGTTAATATCCTTCGGTTCGTTTGTGGGTTAGCCACCTCCTTCTCTTGTGTTGTGATTTTTTGCTCATGTCCGATTTCTGTTACACTCGCTTTGTCGGGGGATATGTCAATGATCTCTGACTCTTTGTTCAGTTGATGACCTCTCAATTGTTCAAGCGCTTTGTTGCGGATTTCGTTCGCGAACATCTGCTCTTCTTCAGCTATTCGGTTCAATATCCGTAACCTTTCACTCTTTTTATCCTTTCCCACTTTGGCTGTCTTTATTCCCAGTGCCTCTGGTACTGGGATAGGCTTTGCCCACTCCATTCCAGGCACGAGCGATTGTTTTGCTGCAGCTGTCGCTTCTTTCTCTGTGGCAGCTATCTCTTTAAGTATTGGTGACCTTTCGTCATTTACGGTAGCAGATCGAGGTTCGAGAAAGTTCGGGGTACGCTCTGGTACTCTCTGCAAATCTTTTTCTTCGGTTTCATTTTCGGTAGCCGATCGTGGTTCGAAAAAGGTCTTGCTGACGTTTTTCGGATCCGGCTCTGACGCCAACTTCTCAACTGGTGACCTTTCATCTTTCGTTCCCAGTGCCTCTGGTACTGGGATAACTTTTTCGATATTTCCATTTTCATTTTTCGTTTCCAGTGCCTCTGGTACTGGGATAATTTCTTCCTGCTGCGCTTTTGTCACGTTCTGCTGCACTCTTGTCACTCCCGGTGCCTCTGGTACTGGGATGACCTTTTCTCTTTCCTTTTGTGTCAGCAGTGTCCGGTTTAATGTATTTTCAATCTCCTGTTGGATCAATTTCAACTGCTCAAATATCGACAATTCTTTTTGTACCACCTTTTTCTGCTCCTTTCCCGGTGCCTCTGGTACTGGGATTAGCGTTTTATTAGCCGTTTGAGTATTTCCCGTCTGCTTAAGTTCGGTGACCTTTCCGACTTGGACTTTGGCGACTGGTTTGGGGTCATCTTCTTTTTCTTCTTCCCCTTCATTGTCCATCAGTACGAACTTCTTCTCTAAGAAGTCGAATCCCAGTAACACCTGTACATCATCACACTTCGGTCGGACGTAGAAGGAATGTTCACTAGTCTTTTTTCTTAAGGTCACTGGTGCTACACAGTAGTGCGTCACCAGGAATCCTGACGTTCCGCTAATTCCATTTATCTTCACCAGTCTGTCTGGTGGCAATGGGAGCATGTGAAGTCCGTTCTTCTCGCAAAACGGTTTGCTGATCAGCGACGTCTCAGCACCGGTGTCCAGCATTGCGTTTACGTTTATATCTCCCACTTTCACTTCGTTAGTGTACGCTTCAATTCTCTTGGGCAGTTTTCCGTTTTGAATCTTTAGTGTGTGAATCTTGCATTTCACAGGGATTAGCGATACTGGTCCCGGATCCATATCGGGAAGCACTTGCCCTTTCGCCGGAGTGCTGTGACCTTTCAGTATTTCGCTTAGCTTATCAATCCTGTGTGGGACGTTAGTTCGAATGTCGTAGAATTTTTGCGGCTTCTTCTTATCTGCTTGCTTCTCTGCAGCCATTTTACCACTGGTGACCTTTTCAACGTTCTGCACTTGCGGATTTGCTTTTGTGCTATCCACGTGACCTTTAGTCACTTCGTTTATCGTCTCATGGATCAGTTCCTCTTTGCGGTTTTCATTTCGTTTATCTCGCAGCTTCTCAACGACTTCACTTGTTATTTGGTCAGCTTGCTTCAATTCATCTGCTTCGCTATCTTTCATCTCATTTGGTGACCTTTCATATGTTATCATATCATATCCCTTTTCGGTCATCCATTCAATCACCTTTGCAGACACTTCATTGTTCGTTTTCGTCGGGTCGATTTGCGAAGACATCCCGTATGTTCGGGCTGGTGACTTGTCACTGGCATCCTTTTGCAGTGCTTGTGATAAGTCCCGTGACCTTTCGGCTGCGCTACTCTTTTGCATTTGCGCCATTTCATTTGACCCTCCTTTCTGTTCGTTTTGCGCTAAGTCCTGTGACCTTTCATTGCGCTTTATGACAAATCCGCCGCTTGACAGCTTTTGTATGGGAACTTTTTCCCCATAATTCGACGGTTTATCTTTCGGTGGTGCATTTCGCGAGTTATTCAGGTCAGCTTGTGCATTCTTGTATTCAGTTGCGTTGAATACTGGAGCAAAGTTCGGTGACCTTTTAACTTCTTTCCCGGTAACCAATTCTTCCAGTCGTTTTCTCTCATGTTGCGTTCGCAATTCTCGCATGTCCCAGTAATCTTCTTAAGACATTCCCGCTTTCTGTTTCGCTTTTGGTGTCACGGGTATCCACATCCCGTGATTCCCATCCGGTCTGTAGGCTACTTTTTGCCATATTTCCTTCCGTTGCAGCGTTACTGCATCCACCAGTGATTCATCGGAGTTCTGCTGTGCCGGTCCGCTATTCTTCTGCTGCGCTGTTCGCAGTGTCAAGTCTGTTTCTTGACCTTTTAACACGGCGCTTTCACCGTGACCTTTAGCGTTCGCACGCGCTCCTTGATCCCTCGCTTGGATTTTTCCCACGGAAGGTGACCTTTCATCTCTTCTGTTAGCAGTGATATTCTGCTCCATCCATTTTTGCCTTATCAACGTCTCATCTTCATCCTCTGAGTAATCCCAGAACTTTGGCTTTATCTCTCCGTTTCCCGCCAAGTATTTTTGGAATTTTGCGTGTTGCTCATTTTCTTCTTGTGCAGTGTCAGTCTGGGGCTTCTTCTGGTTCAACAGCGCCTGTTGAATCTTCGCGTTTCGTTGTGCGCGTCGTTGCGCTAGCACTTCTTCGCTGCAGTACGGTGACCTTTCATTTTGCTGCACTTTTTGCAGTGTCGCGCTACCGTCACGACGATTCCCACTCGCAGTACAATTCTGCGGTGACTTTTGGTCCCGTTGCGCGTTTCCACTCGCAGTACCATTCTGCGGTGACCTTTTATTCACTTGTACTGGTTTCCCGATAACCAGTTCGTTTTGCTGCTCTGACGGCATCCTTATAGCCGTTTCGATTTCTTTTTGCAATGACGACATCCATTTAGCCGTTTCGCTTTGCTGTGGCGGCATCCATATAGCCGTTGCACTCTTCACGTTCACTGCAATACCATTCTGCAGTGACCTTTCCATTCCCCGTTTATCCGGTGGTTTCGGGTCGGGTCGATCAGTAGGCTCACCGGCGCCTACTGATCTTGCCCTTTTCCTGGACCGGCGCACCTCCTTGTTGAGCGCCTTGCACATTTCCCTGTTGTTGTCCAATATCATTTGCCGGATTCGCATTCTGTCCGCCGCCGCCGTTATTGTATTGGCCACCACCCTGTTGGTAGTTTCCTTGGCCACCTCCATTTCCGCCGCCTCGGTTACCACCGTTCCAGTTTCCGCGGCCAAAGCCTCTGTTTCTTCCTCTGAAGCTGCCGCGGTAGCCGCCACGATTGCCACCGCCTTGGCCACCATTTCCATTTCCATTTCCACAATTTCCGTTTCCATTTTGATTTTGAAAGTTGGCTTTCTGCTGATACCATTGGGCGATTAAGTCATATCCGTTTGCCACTGCTTGTCGTAAGCCGCCCGAATTACGTAGCCGTTGCCACTCTCTGAAGGCGAACAGATTCGGGTTCTGTTCTGGTGGTGTGTTCGCGAACTTGCATCCTTGCATCTGGTGATTGCCATACATACAGTATTGGCACATCTGCGCATTGTTCGCCACCCATCCATCAATCATCTGAAACTTAAACTCCGTTCGTGACCCTTGATTCTGCTGATAGTTCTGATTTCCTCTGTTTGGCTGGAAGTTGCCTTGTCCTTGGTTTTGATTCTGGAAGTTTCCTTGACCTCCATTCCAGTTTACATTTCCATATCCGTTTCCGCCGAAGTTTCCGTTGCCCACTCCTTGTTGTGGTAACCCCACATTCAAGGGGGCCACGTTCTGTGGTACCGATGGAGCCACATTCTGAGGTGCCGGTCTCACTCGAGCCGCCGCTTGTATCGCCGCAACCATTGCGTACGATATTGGGTGTCCCGTCTGACTGTCGATAAAGGTCACTTTTTCTGTGACCTCTCTGATCCGAGTCTCTGCGCGGTATTCAACCGGCTGTTGAACTGGTACAGCCGCCATCCTTTGTTGCGGCACATTTTCAACTTGGCCGGACCGGATTGTCGCATAATCTTGGTTGCGTTGACCTTTAGGCGCCTTATATTTATCTTCTCCCGTTGCCCAATGTCGGAAAAAGTCCTTTACATCGGTTGGCGTTCTACACTTTTGTGTACGCAATGCCTTGTAGAGTTCATTATCCACTCTACATCCTTCGATCAAGAAGCCCACTGCTTGTTTTTCCGTAATGATCCGTTTTGCTTTGAACCGCATCATTGCCTGGTAATACTGGTCGAGTGATTCTTTCCCCAGTTCGAATTTTCTTGCATAGGCCTCACGTAAGCCTAAGACTTCTTCATCTCGATCACCGTATTCATCTTTAAATTTGTCCATCCATTCTGTTACTGAATATTCGATCCCGTCTTCTGATGCGATATCTTTTCGCTTTCAAACCAGGTTTTAGCAGGACCTTTCACTGCGCTGGCTATCTCAATCATAATCTGGTCATCGGTAAGTTGGTAGGTTCGTTGAGTGTCTTTTACCAGCCTTGTCCAGCCATTCACTGTGTCGCGACTGCCATCAAAGGTCACGAGTGGCGTTTTCCGGGCCATAGAGTTGAGTGCTTTCGCTAATGCAAAGCCTCCTCTCGGGTCTTCTTCTTCTTCGTTACTTTCGTCATCGTTTGTGTTTCGCCTCTCCTTTGCGTAGCGGGACTTCCTTGGGCGCTCCTGCCGACTGGATTGTTCGTCTCGTCGTCCTTCGTTGACAAAGACGTACGTTTCGATGTGCGGAGGGAACTGTGAGGGGTCACCTCGACTCATATGCGGGTAACCTTCCGACAGCTGCTCTTTATCCTCGTTGACCTTTTCGCCATTTCGTTCCGTTTTAATGCTTCCTTTACCGGTGCCAGTTCGCAGCGGCATTTCAAAGTTGAAGCTTTTGCCCGTTTCATGTGCCTTACTATAACTGGGCGGGGGTGACTCCACCGTTGCCGTTCGAACTCCATATTGCAGGAGATGTTCATCTTTATGCTTATTGGACATATTGAGCGCCTTATTCTCGTCTTCGAGGCGTCTGATTTTCAACTGGGATTCCTCCTTCTCGGTTCTCAGACTCTGGTTTTCCTCGTTGACCTTTAGCATGTGCTGGTGGAGTTGGAACGTTTTCTCCTGGATGACCTTTTCAGTGTCATTCTCCACTTTTTTTATGTGTTCCACCAACTGGGTCACATCTCTTTTTAGTTTCGTATATTCCTCGGCTGCTGCCTTCAGCTGATTCTTCGTCTGGGTGAGCTCATCCTCCCCTGTCATTACCGTTTGGGTCATATCGATCAACTCCGTGTTGAGTTTGATGATCTCTTGTGTCTTCTGATGAACCATTTGTTGCACTCTTTGTCTTTCAGTTCAAGTGCTGTGACCTTTGTGTCCAGGAGGTGTGCCTCATGCTCCCACCTCAAGCCCTGTTCGGCAAGTGTCTTGGCGGTTGCTTTCAGTTCTTTGTTCTCTTCAGTGACCTTTCCGTTATCTTCCTTCAACTCTTTGTTTTCTTTCGTCACCTGCTCTTTAATCAACTGTCCTAAAGGTCACCCCGTACTTCGAGATTTTTCAAAGTCCTTATTAAAGGTCACTTTCCGATTGAAAAATTTCGGCTAAGTTCCGTTTAAAGGTCACTTTTTCGATAAAAACTTCGAGAGATTTGCCCTAAAGGTCACTTTTCGGACAAAACTTTCGAGAGCGTTTTTACAGTTCAGAACACGTTTACGAATGAAATTCTACAGGTGATGATATCGCTGTACTACCAATTCAATTTCTAAAGGTCACTGTTGGTCACTTTTAAATCTTAAAGGTCATTCAAAACAGTCAAACTGCTCACTTCCAACTTTTTGGTAAAGGTCACTTTCCCAATCGTCTAAACTTAAAAGGTCACTTTCCAGCTCAATTCAAGTCAAAGGTCACTTTCCAACTCAATTTCAAGTTCCAACTCAATTTTAGTTAAAGGTCACTTTCCCTTTCAAATATCGCGTCTCAATTCAAATTTCCCATTACAGCTCAAGTTCAACGGAAAATCCCCATTTACGTTGTTTACTTCGTTCTCATTGGTCCGCTAGCTCAAATTATTCAGTTCAAATTTCAGCCAATCGCAGCTCATATAACCGCCCAATCACGTTTCTCCGTTTAAAATTTATATCTGCCTGACGTCACGGTCAACGGCCAGACATTCGCACCGTGCGCAAAACTCCGCCTACGTCTATGCTCAGCTCAGAACGGACCAATAGAAATTGCCAATTTTATCAACTAGCCAATGCCGTAATTAATAACGGTTTTTCTACCTGTTTCACCGTCCGTTCCGCGGGGAAATGATCCAGATGATCCAATTCTTCTCCACTTCCGTTCCCGCGTCGCCGCTGTTCCGTAGCGTGCCTCGCGCTATTAGTCTGCTACTGTGCCGGCTGTGCCGTAGCAACAGTAGTAATGCTCTACTCCAGTTTGGAGGAGTCTGATCTAATCTTTTCCCGTGCGCCCCTTTTGGCGCTTCGCCGCTTGTGGCCCACGGCTTAGGCTTCGCTGAAGCCTTGCCGAGTATCGGTGACACCAGTGTAGGTCTTCGCTGAAGACTCTACACCGAGGAACACCGACGACTGAACTCTTGAACTCTTTCCCAGCTGAGGATACAGCACAGGTCTTCGCTGAAGACACTGTACCGAAAGCCAAAGCTGGTAATCCGCGTCAGATGGGGAGCTTGCACCGCTTGTGGTGTTGCGCTTTGCTGTCACACTGACCTGCGCCTTGCTGGTCGCGGATCACACGTCAAATAACAGGCCAAATATGCCTGGCACAAATCAAATCAACTCAAATCAGAACCGCTGTCGGCTCTGCTACCATCTAAAGCTAGATCCAGAATGGATCCAGAGACAGAGACCTAAACGGGATAGATCCTGTGGAGCGAGCAAGGCGATCTGGATTGCGAGCTATGCGGAAACACAAAACGTCGCACCGCTACTTGCTAACTTTTTAATATTGACAATTCTGCAGCACAGAAAATCAACAATGATCGGCGCAGCTCGATCGTAAAATCGTAGAGCCAATTCTACAGTGTGCATCACTGTGCGGCACGTGCTATGCCGCGCCCACTAACACAACTCAAGCCAATCAGAGGCGAGACACAACACAGACACGTAATCCATGGCGAGTAGCGTCACGAGTGTGAACGCTAGTGAACCCCCGCTCACACTACGGTAAACTGCGAAATACAGTAAATTCCTAACCGAGTGAAACTAAAATCAACACGGAATGGTGATGTTCTACCCACGTTTTATAATTGATTAAGCATCACATCGCCAGGATTCTGCTTATGACACTGTATCGGAATCCGCACTGCGGCGCTGTTCATCCGGGTAGCCGCGCAATCCATACAAGGTCAAGATTGTGGAAGCCCTTAATTCTAGGTAGCCATTGCTCTTCTTATAGTAATGGAACATCACTGTTGTCTGGTGACTTAATTGGCTGATGTCTCGTCGTTAGGGCATGTTTTATGTTCTTCAAAAAGATTTTCACGATCGACCGTTGACGCAGAAATTGGAGGAGACGTCGGCATAATTCAGTACTATTAAATATTATTGATGGGTTGCCCTTTTGCTGTGGAAGCCCTTAGAACGCTCAGCGAGGCAGACAGAGGTCATCTTTTTTGGACATAAAATTAAGGAGAGATCTGGCAAAAGCAGAATGACTGGCAGATCCACGGCTTTTTTAAAATAGCGCATTAGCCTTGTCTTTGTAAAAGGCAATGCGGTTGCCGTTTCAGGAACCTAACCGCGCAAAAGAATAAAGTTGTTGATTATAGTGATTTTGGTAGTTTTTTTTTAAATTCTTGATTATGCAGTGCCGGCGGTAGTGATATAAGTCATGACTGTTATGTCGCGATGTAAACACGAATAAAGGTACACCTGACTTGTCCGCTCTGGCGAACCGCATTCTGCCGGTTATGCAACCAGTATTTCTTGTGAACGATTGTTCAGTTTAGCTGGTTTGGTCATGGATGACCGCCGAAATCAGTTAAAGTCTGAGAAGCTGGATGACCTCTTGTTTCTTAAAAATCTTGAATAACTGTTTTTTTTTATACTGGAAAACGTTGGTTGTGCCATTTACTCAATAAACCCGAATTCTTTTGTTATTGTTAAGGAGAAAATTTGACGCGGTATATTAATGGCGGCGATGTAACTTAATCGATAACTTTGTCGTCATTAACCTTCTTAAATTATGGAACTATGCGCTGAATGTCGAGTCTGAATTTTTTGTTTTTGTTAAAAATTGTTATTTTGGACAATTATCCGATTATACTAGGATATCCGAGTGTCGGATAAGGATAGGATAAGTACATATAAAGAAATAAAAAAATTCGGATAAACGGTCGGATAAGGATAAATTTAAAAAGTGTCGGATAGGATAATGATAATGAAACCTTATCCAATACCCAGCTCTAATGCACAGATTAGACAGTCTTATCATACATTTATTTTTTGCTGCTAGATATATATTTGCTGAATTTTCCCATTTTTGGCAATTTTAATTGGATGGTCAGATAACTTGAGAATAATCTCCCTAAGTGCTACAAACGGAAGCCGGAATTTTTCTATCAAAAACTGTCTGCACCGTTTTTCCCTTACCTTTGCTTCTGCCATGGCCTCGACGCACCATGCTCTTCTCGCACCGAATTTCCTGTCCACACCGCGACTTTGCATCAGAACATTTTACGAAGGCAGATATGACAAATTTTTAGTGGATAGAATCAGCGGCACAGGAATTCTAATTCGGGAATATGTCTTCGACAGGAAGGACGGACATTTGTTAGTGAAGACCAGTTTCCGGCATGTAACTGGCGAATGGATCCCGTTCGACCGCCTGATCGTGCGGACGGGTGGTTTCTGTATAGGCCTGCGCTGAAGCTCGGACTTGGATTCGGAGTTGGATTACTTAAAAAAAATTTGGACTTGGATTACTTAAACTTGGACTTGGATTACTCAAACTTGGAGTTGGATTACTCAAACTTGGATTTGCCTTGGATTACTCAAACTTGGATTACGTTCACATATTGTTTTCTCGTGCGCATTCTTAGGTTATTCTCAGGATATTACTAGGTATTCCTGGGCACTTCTCAGGTAATCCTTAGGTATTGTTTGGTATTCTTCTTAGGCATTCATAGGTATTCTTCTTAGGTATTTTTAGGTATTGTTTCTTAGGTTTTCTTAGTTATTCTTAGGTATCGTAAGATTTCCTAGGTTCTTCTTAGGTTCCTAAGAAACCTAAGAAAAACCTAAGAAAACCTAAAGAGCACCAAGAAGAAACCTAAGAACCTAGGAATAACCTGAGAATAACCTAAGAATGCGCACGCGAAAACAACATATGCACGTAATCCAAGTTGAGTTATCGAAGTTCCAGTTTGGGTAATCCTAATCCAACTCTCAGCGCGGGCCCGAGTTATCCAAGGCAAATCCAAGTTTGAGTAATCCGACTCCAAATCCAGCTCCAAAGTCTGAGTAATCCAAGTCCAAGTTTGAGTAATCCAGCTCCAAGTTTTAGTAATCGAAGTCCAAATTTGAATAATCCAACTCCGAATCCAAGTCCGAGCTTCAGCGCGGGCCTTCTGTGTAAACGCTGCGCTGAGCATCGGTTGCTGGATGATCCGGCGCCCCAGCGTGCCGCTGTTCAGGCTGGGTGCCGATCAGCCACCCGTCTGGTTGCCGGCACGCCAGCTGCAGTTGCACATATACAGGCGCTACAGTAACCGTTCCTGGTGGCTGCGGCGGGTTGTGGTAAGCGTGAGTGCGGAGAGCGCGAAGTATCTTATCGGGGGAAGATGTACGCTCTCGCGTGCAGCAGCGCTACTGCTACCGCGGAATTGGACGCCGAGGGGCCAACGTGACTCAGGAGAACTTCCGCAAAACGGTTGTACAGCTAGAGCCGCGGGTGGCGGAGACGTTGCAGACCTGTCTGCCGTCTCGTGAGTTTCATGTAGAATGGCTAGAAGATACGCGAACACTTATCACGTACGGCCATAGTCAGTGACCGCATGGAGCTTCTAAGCCGCGGCCCGTTAAGAAAAGGGCCCTGAATAAATCGAACGTCTCACGGGCGCTGATGCACACGAATGGTTATTCTGGGTTAAACGTTTTCTCCCCTCTCCACCAAATATGGTGTCGCCCTTCACTTAAACAGGTGAATAGTGATAGCAACTAACAAATGTTTTGGTACTGCTCTAACATAGGTTTGGTACTGCTCGGCTCGGTATATTCAGCATGAGGTATGTTACTGTTATTTAGCAAGATTATTAAACAGCCATCAATTTGTTGGTGTTATTTATACCGAACTGCAGGTGAAAACAAAACCAGATGCCCTCTTTACGCGTTCCGGCCGAGCGACCGATGCCACCTAAATGGCCACACGTGATCCTGTACGTTGATTGCCGCGAGCCAACGAGGTCAGACAGCGACAGCGTTCACTTACTCATACAAACCGTCATTGTTTCGTATCTCAGTTCTCAACATGTACGACCGTATACTGTTGCAAAGGTAACCTGTTCTTCCTCTTCGCCCTAATGTTGGTTGACTCTGGCAACCGTTGAATGCCTTATTTGCAGAGTTTCTACGAACTGGAAAGCAGCTGTGCGATCCCCAGTCCTGGGGGTGATACAGTTATATCCCATCGATATTATCGACAGGAAACCGCCCATGATTTAGCCTACCGCCTTCAAATGTCCGAGACCTGTAATACTACAGTCGTTCATCTCACGGGGCATTGGCAGGATTTCTTGGCTCCGGTCGCTATAATTCTCTCCTACATGTCCGTCAAATTAGACTGACTGGTCATTGCGGACAACGAATTCCCCGACAACAAATATGTATTTACTTCCGAAGCCAAACGTCTGCCGGACATGTGCTGGCATATTGCCATGAGCGATATGGCTGGCACTTTTGGCAGGGCTTGGTTGATTAGCTTCGACTTCACATACGCGTTTACCGCTGGAGCATCCCACGATCTGCTAATAGCGTTTTTTAATCACCTTATTGAAGTGGCGAACTCAGTTCAGAAAGAGGAATACACGGAGATACAGTCGCGCATCGCCGCTTTGTCCGAGCAGTCACGAATTTAAAAACGCGCAGTGGAAAAACTGTTGTTTATGTTTTACGCGGTGAGTTGTTAATTGCAGTGTTATTACGTGAGGTCAGTATTTACTGTTTCTTCCAACCTCCGTTTGGAGAACGTTGTTAAACGGTTGTCGCGTCATCTACCTGTTAAGCTGCTGCCGTCTGATATGTAATCGAGTTCCATCTGTAAAAAGCAGAGCGGATATATCGCAACCCAGTGTAAAATGCAGACGAACAAATTCTTCAGTAATGTTGCTCATTGCAGATGAAGAGTCCAGGTCCCACAAAATCTGAAGGATCTCACAACGGTTGCTTTGGAAAGGATGCCGCGAAAGCACTTAGTCCTCAAAAGCTTGTCACTGTGGCCCAGTCTGTGGGCAGAGGATCCCGGAGGCGATGTTCTGGGCCATGATTAGTGAGATGACTTTGAAACTGGGATGGAATCAGAATTTACGTCCTCTCGGGTCATTCTCTCGGGTTTCAGCGCCGACTTTGTTGCGGTCATTAAG